ATCCATKTTTGAARTATCTGGTATTATTTATAGCAGGTGTCACGAGCCCATCAGGACAAGCTCGTGCTACACAAACTAAAGCATTGCACTGCTGGATCTCAGTGCCTTTTCACTTAATTGTAATACACACACACAGAGAGAAACTACTGAAAACCACATGGATGCATCTGTCTAAAAAACACAGCCCAAGACCGAGTTCAACCCCTCAAGAGCCGTTTTACCTGCAGGCAGGACAGCCACCAACTACTACCACAGAAGTGGTGGTGGCAGGCTGTTGAATGATGGTGTACGTGCTCGAATAGTTTGGCTGTGATGTCGGTGGAGGAACAGCATACCCTAAAAGAGGAAAAAAAACCTCAATCACCACCCATAAGACACAAAGAACAACGATAATTTCAAAGTACGACAACAAAACATTGAAAACAATAAACAGGAATGTAGTCTTGATTAAGCACTTCGAGCTCTATCAAAATCAGAGCTGGAACACCTGGCACATCTAATAGCCAAACCACTTCATAAACCCAAGTATCAATTTAACCATCCAAAAAGGACACTGAGCTAATAATTAACTTTGAGGTTTTGTTTCAATGCTGTTGAGCACCTGGGAAAAACTGTTTAAACAATGACCATAGCTTTCACTTCCGGATGTTATGTATCAAGAATGTCCCCCTGCAATACACCAATGACTTGAAACAGAATAAATCTTCCTCTGTGTCAAGCTTAAAGTCCATATACAAAGTTTCTAATTGGAAAGTGAGGTAGGAGAGACAGGATGCAAGAAGAAATTGCATAGCACAGAAAAAAAACCCCAGCTTTCAGAAAGTCTATGTTGTTAGCTAGAGAATGAGTAATTTTAACAGATCTAGGTAAAAGACAGAAGCCTTTAACTGCTTTATTAACATAACAACTTTAAATTATATTTTTTAAAATAAGCTTTTGAAAGGGCTGGTTAGATGCATGCAGTGTGCTCAAGGCACAGTTTGCCCAGGTATAATCCATTTCCCAAGTTCTCAGATTTTCTTCTATCAAGTTATTCATCTGTGAAGTCTATTTAAACTGAAAATAACCACTGATACTTATATTGCACAGAAACAAGCTTTAAGTTATCAGCAGGAAAATCAATCCATAGCCTCAAGGTTCAACTCAAAGATGGGGGGCTGTGTCTGCCGCGTAACTTCTCTAACTTTGAAGCATTCCTCTTTCCTGAGAGGCTGCTTCTTTCTTCGGCAGATGTTAATTCAGTTCACGAAAGTACTGCATCTACTCACCTAAGTCTCTCTCAAACTACTGAAGTGTATCACAAAAAACAAACATTAACCAGAGYACAGCGAAGTGGAGGCAAAGAACAGTCTGGGGTTTGGGGTCTGTTTTAGTGCCAAGCACAGCTGTGGCTCTGCCATTGTCCCGAGGCAGAAAACCCGCGCGTGTGAGCAATGCCCGCAAACGCAGCCGGGATTCGGGGGAGAGCACAACACCAACACCTCRGGGGCTCCGGGGGAAGGAGGGCAAAGGGAGAGGGCGCTTTGGAACACCCGGATCGCGGCGCGCCCGCCTCCCTGCGCTGCCTCCGGGCGGGGGAGCCGCGACACCCGCGGAGCTTCTGCGCTGAGGGAACCGCGCCCCGGAGCG